AAAAAAAAAAAAAAAAAAAAAAAAAAAAAACGGTATTATTCCTTTATCCTTCGACACAATGCTCTTCCAAGGAATAATTTTAATTATTATCCACCTTTGTGAAGCATAGCTGAAGTGAATAAAATAAGATTAATGTACCTCATGCTTAATAATATTTATATAAATCTATTTACTCTCCCATATATTAATATATTCAAATATTCACTATATCTTTGTGCCTTTGACTATATATATATATATATGTGCCTTTGACTTTACATTAGTTTTACAGTAGCTATACACCAGCTATACATTTTACAGTAGTTAGGGTAAAGGAGAAAAATCTATTAATTACATCCTCACTCTTAATTCACCTACTTTTTAAAATAAGATGCTTAATTTTGAACATATTCCTATATTTCATTAAAAATAAGAATGTATTTTTTTTTATTAAATTCCTAATTCTAACATTTCAATGCACGAGGACAAGCCTGCCAATCTTTCAAGTACTTACAATCAAGAAATGAAAATTGACTCAGCCGAGAGAATGTAAACATAAATAAAAATGCTAAAACTTTCCTGTTCTAACTATCATTTATCACTCAGTCTTTTGTAATAATGTACACTTTTTAAATGCCATATATAAAACTGGAAACCTCCAGAATATAGACTTGGTATCTACCATATATTTTTGAAATACACGAGCAACTGGAAGATAAGAGAAGTAGGAAAAGGTACAACTCAAAGAAAAGGTGCAGCTTTTAAACCTTATCTTCCCAACGTTTCAACAAGTTTCCAATGGCGTTCTCCCAAATATTCCTTCCTTTTATTTTTTCCCTTCCTTTTAATTTTTGAAAGTGAGGCTGAAAAATTTCAGTTTTAAATTTAAAAAGCTAAACTACATTATCTTATTTGAATGGAGATTTAAAAACTGCCAAATTTGAAAGCTGCATAAGCGTTGCTCTTTTACTGTAGATGACATATTCTCTGTCAACTTCCTCTGTTTCTTCATGAGTCACACCATACTTTATTGTATAAACAAATAAAACATTATAAAGAGTATTTCCAAAATAGTTTTAAAGCCAGCAATCCCACACTCACTTTAAAAGAGTGGAAGGAAAAACAACTCTTTCGAATTATCTGTGGCTGTTCTGCTTCACTCACGATCATTATTAAGCACTTGAAAATAAAGAAGAGTTACTGTCTGCACCGTGACATAGCCAGTGTTCCTCTCTGCAAACAGCACCACTTATTTACAAATAACAACAGACACAGAGATAACAGCTTGTTCCTTTCAGCTTATGAAATGCTCCATTCCATATGAAAGACTACACTTGAGGATACAGTGAAGCCCCTGGTCATAATTATGGATCCTTCCAAAAACAGATTATCATTTCGTTGTTTGTTTAATTTAAGGCAATGTGACTGGAACCAACATAAATAAATTACATAAAAGAAAATAGAAGAATCATCCCAGTAGGCGGATTCCAATTGCACTGGTAGGTAGCTTCCTGTACACGATTCCAGATCTGAATGCAGACTGTGTACAGGAAAAACTTGTCTTCCGGCACCAGTTGCCAGCACTGTTTTCTCCCTCCCTTTAAAAGTTCCTTCATCTCACAATAATGTGGGTGCCCACTACATCCATACACGCAAGCAATCATTCCCATTGGTCACACCCAAAGGGCTGCTTCAAAACCAGGCTTCCGTGGGATTCTATAAAAGCTATGAGAGAAGAGACCATACTACAGTCTTTTATAACCCAGAATACCACTTAAAAAGCAGGTTAACACTGTTGGAGTAGGAGACATAAATGAAATATTTGAAAATCAAAATATCAAAAACAGCAAATCTACTTACATTATTTGAGAAGTGAATTGATTTCCCCATTAAATTTCTCTCAAGCAGCCAGTTTTCCCAATAAAGTGTGTTGGCTTCTTTCTTCTTAGAAAAATAAAGACTTTGAATTGTTTTCAGATATTCTGATGGCACAGAAACTAGATAGTAGGCAATTTACTTACTGATAAAGTCACCTGCTCGATTATGGTAAAGTAGATGTGATTTCTCAAACTGCTTTTAGTATATATGTTTAAGCTTGTTTTTTGGACATAATCCTAAAGCTACTTACTCTATTTATTAAATTAAAAGCAGTTATTCTTCTTATAAAAGAATGTATTCCAGTAAAGTTAGCCTTTAGGCAAATTTATTCTAAATTTGTTTTGCCTTCTCATGATTCTTAAATAAAACTTGACATTCCACAAAGGGCGAAAACAACCACTTATAACAAGTTATATTTAAGAAAGCGCCTACCATTTTCATTTTTACGATTAATATTTAAGTAAACAGCAAAACTCAAGGGCACCTGGGTGGCTCAGTCAGTTAAGCATCCAACTTTGGCTCAGGTCATGATCTCACAGTTCGTGAGTTTGAGCCCCGCATCAGGCTCTGTGCTGATAGCCCAGAGCCTGGAGCCTCCTTCGGATTCTGTGTAGCCATCTCTCCCCCTCCCCAGCAAAACTCAACCTATTGAGTATAACAAAATTTATTAAACAGAAAAATTTTTCAACGTAGATAAATTACCTGACACTATGGTAGATAGAGATGATCCCATGTATTTCTACTTCTTATTTGTCACCAAACTTTTAGCAATATCACCACAATTTTTCAGCAGCCTGAACCCATTTTAAAAGTAAATAATTCAGGTGTTGTATTTTTCCCAATCATTTGAACCTAATATATTCTATCTCTTTTTTTTTTTTTTTTTTTTAAGTAATCTCCACACCCAACATAGGGCTTGAACTCACAACCCTCAGATCAAGAGTTGCATGCTCTACCAACTGAGCCAGCCAGGCACCCCATGATGTATTCTATCTTGATCAATTTATCCAACAATGTGTAAAAGGTTTGTTAAGATATCCTTGAAGGTAGAAGAAAATGTTCGACATTCACTGAGTGCCAATATATTAGCAACGATAGCACTTTCTTTCACTTCTATAATTAGCTCTGCTATCCAAAAAGGTCGGTTTCATTGGTCATGATCTTCTTCAGCCATATATTCTTACTTGAAAGGATTAGTTTTGACATTAAAAGATAAGAAATCATTATGAAGCTTTCCTGTTCCATAAACTTTAATGACTCAAACTCAAGTTGATGCTCTAAATCTCCTTCCATGTGAGTCCAGCTCACCTTTTCAAGCATAGAATCTCCACCACACTCCCCATCCCTGTTCTGGTCAGACTGGTTTATTCACTGCCCTTTACCTCTAGAATGTATTGTCCATATTGTGCATGTTGTCATTTCCATGAGAAAAAAACCATCACAACACTCTGTGTATGTGGTTATAGTCTTCTGGTTCAGCCAGTTCAAATCACAAATCTTTGCTTACAAGGCATATCAACATGTTTTCCTCCAACTATTTCATATGAATAAATCCCATAACAGACATAAAGTTGTTTTCTAAGACATCTAAAAAATCATTAAAATAATAACATCTTAAAATTTGACATATCACAGTTTCCCTAAGAAAATCACTAATTCATCATGAACTACATTTTAACTCCACTTAAATTTTATCCTGATTCATTGTATTTATGTTATTTAATGAACACAGTTTTAAAAATTAATCAGCTTTGTGATTTAGTTATGCATGTAAACAAAGCACAAATTATTTAAATAGACTGACAATAATATACATAAAGGAAAAGGAATACTAACAAAAGTCTATTTTGCTTTGAACAAAAGCAATAAATTTGTTTGAAAAGTAGTATAATCTAGATATTTTCATTCTAATCATATACAGTTAAGCTAATGTTTTATAAAAGGAAAAATAAATTAAGCTATTTTATTGTAGTAATAAGGGGTTTTATGGAGATGATGACTAAAATAAGGGAAAGATCATCTATTTTCCAATGTGCCTTGTAATTTTATAACCCATTAATTTTATTTCTGAACATACTGTTTGAATTAAGGTTGAGTTCTGGTCTTAGCTGATCCTTAAATATCCAATTAATATTTCCTATTTTACTGTTTATCAGACTTGTCTGCACTTTGACATATCACACTGGTGTTCTTATGAAAACCACATGAGGTAGCCAGGGGAAAAACTTAGACAAATATTTCTTCAAATCATATTTTTAAAAATAAATCTATAATTTCCCAGTTAAAAGCAATGAGATTTTATGTTACAGAATACTAAAATCTAATAATTATGTCCATTCATACTGCAGTAAAACCATAGGTCAGAATACTGAGGGACCTGGAAGGACCCACAAAGGGCACATATTTCCAAGGACTATTTCACTAATATAACAGTTTTCCCAGTCCAACTCAGTATTTATGTCCTGACTGACCTCAGAAATAATGACCTTTTTCTGAGGGTTAAAAGAAATTAAAACTTCATTTTGTTCCAGAATGATGGTATGCAAAGGTAAGAAAACCTACCCCAAGTTTACCAGGATAATGGTAATAGGAAGATTGCATAACAAGACTTCTCCTTAGTTTCAGAAATCAAGATACATTTACCTTGAAAAGCAGCAGCATTTCGCGATATTAGAAACTTTAATGTGGAGCTGGATGATTGAAGGACTTCCTGCATATCTTGGTGAGCTGCAGTCTGGTATCTCTCCTCCATCTTCCTGGTGCAACAGGTAGGTTTTTTGGATATGCAAACCTGTAGATCAGGTCCTGGAACAGATGTAATATTTTTTCAGAATAATCACCTGTTTATTTGATTACCATTACATGTCACATGTCAGGCATTAATGATCAGAAGGGGCTCATGTACTATGTGAGAAATTGATGTACTAGAGCAGTTGCTGTTAAAAAAAAAATGTATGTATTGTCCATGAAGCCAACCATGAAACAAAATGTTGTAAACTATTAACTCTTTGCTCAAATATTTTATTAACATTTTGATCAAATATTAAATATGTCTATTCAATTAACTAATTACTATTACCTGACAAATACATTATATAACAGGAAACAAATTAACTGTTACATATAAGTACAGAGCTACATCAGGAAACTTTTATTTTTGCTTATTTTGTTAATTCAGCCAAAAGTATTTGATCTAAATACGTTAATCAGAAGTGTATGGGCTAGAGGCGCCTAGGTAGCTCAATTGGTTAAGCGTCTGATTTTGGCTCAGGTCACGATCTCATGGTTTGTGGGTCTGAACTCACAGTTCACAGGTTTGGATTCTCTGTCTCTCTCTCTTTGCCCCAACCCGGCTTGCTCTCTCTCTCTCTCAAAAATAAACAATAAAAATAAACATTAAAAAAAAAAAGAAGGACGTGGGCTAAAACAATTATTTTTTTCCTGAGGAAATAAAATCAAAGTTTGTACATCAAATAAAGGTGAAAAACCTTCACCTGATTTCTCAACTCAGCATTACACTTGCGATTCTTATGGAAGAAGTGGTTATCAGCAATAATAGTATAATGGGGGACTGAGATCCTCCATGGTCCAAACCCACCATCCAAATTTCTACTCATTCCCTAGTTTACTAGAGACAATTCCTACCATTAAAAGTACATGTAGTTTTACAACCATATTCAGAAAACTTCCAGGAAGATGCAGATTACATGGAATGTGAAGTTATTACACAATGTAATAGTTGTAGTTAGAAAAATGCTAATAGAATTAACAACTCTTATCCCAGATGAGCTAAAACCTCATTCTATACCAGAATAATATGCAAATACAAAAAAAAAGTATTTTTATAGCCAAATTTACCAGTACAATGATAATAGGCAAAACACGTAACAAGACAGGGGAGGCACCTTTATACACAGCAGACGTGCTAGAGAACAAAGAGGTAAAGGGGCATGGATAGTGCCTATCGAGGAGAACACTGATGGGACATCATGGTTTGGGCCCTAGAGCATCCCAAGGCTAGCCAGGTTTTATATAAAGCTCAGCAGAGTTTTCTTTTCATGGCCTAATAGAATACATTATTTCCTTATCTTAGGGTAGGAAAAACAGTTGTGGCCTTATTGGTGATGGGGAAGTTTCACAGCACACATGTCAGCTCTTCAGTGACCAACTCTACATCAGCAAATATAAAATACCCATGTGTGCACATATGCGTGCCATACAGACACTGTCAAACCCCTCCTTTTTCACACAGAGTAGACCTCAGGCCTCACATCTCCAAAAGTTGGTTCTGGGTAAGATCAAAACATGTGAAATTGGCCAATACAGGACACCAAAATTTGTAATAATTTTGGCTTTAGTTTGTTTACGTTAGACAAATAAAAAATGACAACATTTGAGCATTTCTCAAAGGCAAAAAAGCATACAATATTGATGTGTGTCACAGCAGGTAATATGTTGGCAACTGTTTTTCATTTTTCTTGGCTACAAGTATACAAAAGCAAATTCTACTTTAAGACTGATTGAAAGAAAAAGCTGCCTTCCCAGCTTTATTCCTAAATGGAAGGACTGGGGAATTAAGAGTTCAGAGAAGAATAGAGATTGGAGGAAAGAACAAATAAATAAACATGAAAGTATATAAACATATTTAGTATGGTAAGGACTGCTAGGGAATAACAATAGTAACAACAATAACAACAACAATAATAGATCTTTGCAAATGTCTCTCCAGAATTCAAACACCAAGGTCCTTTGCTAGACCACGTTCTTAAACATAGCTTATGAAGGCACCAAGTTGTGACCACTCCAACCTCCCTCTCACTCCAGCCTCATCTCAAGTAACGCTGCCCACTGTACCCTTCCCTTCACACATGGGCCTATTTCAGCCCTTCATGGTCACCAAGTGCCCTCTTGCCTCAGGGCCACTTTCTCCATGCTCGGCTCTCTGGAAGGGATGCTCTCATCCTACATGTGCTCACCCACACATATGGAAAACACACACCTCCTCCTAATTCATTGCCATCTATTTTTCTTTACATGTGAACTCAGCCTTCCCGCGAGAACCTTCCTTAGCCTCCCAGACAGCTCTTGTCTTTATTATATGCTCTTGAAGTGCACCATTCCTCTCCATTGCACTTATCATGGTGCAATGTTATATTCCTTCATGTGATGACTAATTAATTCCTTCATCTAACTGTAAAGCTCCACATGAGGGAATTTTTGCTCGTTGTTATATCCCAGTTGACCAGTACAGTGCCTAAAAAAGCATAGAGACTCCATTTTTATTCACCAAACCTACAGTTGAGGATCTAATGTGAATAAACATCATCTTATTGAATCCTCACATTAACCATATGATGTAGAGACCATTACTACCACATTTTACATATGAGGAAATGGAGACATGAAGAGGATTTGAAAACTGCCCGATATCACATACCTATGTCACACACTACGAAATGGTGGAGCTGGTGATCGAAAACAGGCAGAGTGATTCCCAAAGTATCTTCTTCACCATCACTCTACTGAGAGGAAAGCTGTAGCCTTAAATCTATAAATGGTTTGTCTACAGATATGACTGGCCATTTTTGATTCTTCTTCTTGAAAGAAGTCATCTGTTTGGTAAGTTACCAAATTTTAGGTCAGGAACCATCCAAGGAATTTTATTCAAAAAACAAAATAGGCTTGGGGAGCCTAGGTGGCTCAGTCAATTAGGTGTGCAACTCTGGATTTCAGCTCAGGTCATGATCTCAGGGTTGTGGGATTGAGCACCACATCCAGCCCCACATCTTTGGATTCTCTCTCTCTCTCTTTTTTTCTCTCTGCCCATCCCCTGCTCGCATTCTCACATATTCTCTCTCTCTCTCTCTCAAAATAAATGAGCATTAAAAAAGTCATCTAAAATAGGAAGTTATAAAGATGCCATTTGCGTTTTCGCCCAATTTTAAATGGTGGAAAGTACAGTTAGAAAGGTACTGCAAATGGCCTTGACTGTTGTCCTAAACATAACAAGGGAGAGAGACTATCTCCTATCTCACAGGTCTGAATAAGCATGGACAGCAATTTAGAACACTTAAGAGCAAATACATTCTTCATGCTGATGAGCATCTGCACTGATTAATCCAGACTTTCATTCAGAATCTCGGTGGATGATAATGACAACAACATTAACACTAAACTCCAATGCAAAGCAGGACTATAATTCAAAGATCTAGTTATGTTTAACCAGCACAACATTTTCCTCAGTATCCAGAGTTGGGGTGGCGGTGGAGGGGGAAAGAGTCCATAAGAAACTAGTTCCCATGCTTCCTGTATCAGCCCAAAAGACAGAGGAGATGAACCAAACACCCTCAGGGGAAGGACCATACCTTACATTTTGCTCACAGTATAAGCCCAGAGGTCATAATAAGCTGTATGTTGATAAAACGCCCAACATGGGAGGCTGCGGTTCTCCCACTGTAAACAGAACAAACATTATAAGAAAGCAAAGCCAGACGGAACCCAAGCAGATACCATGTAGGTACCAAGACTCATTTTTAGCATATTTCAAAGTCTGGTTTCAAAGAACATGGCATAACTGAGGATGCTATGAAACAGCAAGAGAGCACAGTCAAGGCTCAGAGGCAGCAGTCATGTTTCCGAATGGCAAAATCAAGCTCTGCAAGAATTAAATTACTAAAAGCAAATGAAATTAAAAATAAAACAGCAGGCTCCTTGCTGAAGGATATTCAACCAGAATTTCAGGGGCTTTTCCTGATCTCTCACCCAGAAGCAGCAGGATTGGTGACTATGACTTCCTTTCTGTTTTCCTGCATGAGAAACTGTTAGAGCCATCTCCCTGCTTCTGGATGGTTTTTTCAAATGTGTTAAAATAGGAGCATTGGGAGTCATCCTGGAAAGATGGCAGCCGTGAAGGCATAGTTTTCACTATCTCCAAATCCCCACATAAACCAGATGGAACAACTAGAAAATAAATCCAAGAAATATAACAAAACTAGATGATAGAGAATTCCCACAATTTCAAAATATAAACGGGGGGTTAGGGGGTGGAGATCAGCAAAAGCCACAGATTTTCCCATTATCAGAGTCTGGGCAGCGGGGAGAAGCACTGAGGACAGGACAACCCCCAAACAGCCAACAGAATTTGCCAGAAAGTACAGTGGGCCAATTTGAGAACAGCAGCAGAAACAGGGACGCTTTTGCCCTCTCGATTACCGGGTATGTGCAAACGACCTACGATAGAAGGGAGTGAATGATCAGGAGCTATCCGAACCTGTGAACTCTTAAAACAGATCAAGCAGCCTCTTTTCCAGGATAGAACTCCACACAGAAAAAGTTCTGGAAGTGGAATCAAAATTTAACAGAATAGGGATCCAAGAAGCACAGATAAAGAAGGTCTAGACCAATGTGAGAATGGAATTAAAGCCAAGGAATTTCAGAAAAGAAGCACCCATAATTTTAAATGCTACACAGAAACAGAAGAAGTTCTGTACAGCTCGAAAAGCTTTTCTGAAGCCAGCCTCAACCTAAATGTCCAGGAAAACAATACTCCCTTCCTATAGAATGAGCAACAAAAAATACTGCAGTCAAATCTCACACAGAGTTGTTATGATAAAAAAGAGAGTAAGGAGCAGAAAAATCTCCCACAGACAAAGAAAGCATGCTAGAAAGATATGCCCCTAAAAAGAAAAACAAAAGATAAAAGATAATGAAAGAAAACATGGAAGAATAACACAAAGCAGTATCAGAAAACCTGACAGATGCAGTGCCCATACTCGGTACAGAACAAAAGATGAAAGAACAAGTTC